CGTTTGCTGTTTTGCCCTTCTCATTGTCAGTGCTGATGTTGAACTAGCCCTTCACTTTTCTGGAAGATGCTGAAGGTAAAGAAGAGCAGGCGCTGCGCTTCTTTTGCTGTTTTGCCCTTCTTGTCCGCAGTGTGATGTTGAAATTTGCCCTTTCACTTTTCTGGGAGATCATCAAGGGGCAAAAGTCCAAAAACCAAATGCTCTTCGTTTTCCTTTTTGCCCTTCTCAGCATCTGTGCTGATGTTGAAATTGTCCCATCCCCTTTTCTGAAAGATCCTGAAGGGAAAGAACCCCATAGTGCCCACACCCTTCGTTTTTTCCTAACGAACACCTTTCCATTTCAGGAAACATAGTCACTTAGTGCATCCATGCTGAAGTAGGAATATGATACTTTCTTTTTTTATATACTTTTTTTAAGTTTTTTTCAAGTTTTTTTTAACCTTTTTTTTTTTTTTTTTTTTTTTTTTTTTTGTAGTATGTGTGAAACATAGGAGAAGTCCCTGCATGCTGAGTACAAGCCCTGAGAGAGAAAGGTGTGGTGGGGGAAATGATATCCCTGGTGAATCTACCGTCTTCCCCTGAATACAACGTACGGGCATTCTAGCTGCATCTAGACTGAATGATGCCTCAAATACACCTATAATGTCCGTACGTTGTATTCGGGGGAAGAATCTAGGGAGGATAAGGAAGACACGACATCCAAGCCAGCTTCCTAGGCTTGCTCCTGGTGGGTTTGGACCAGGGCCTGGCTCTGTTCCTGGCGTTGTTTCTGGGCTTGGTTCAGGGCATGTTCCTGGGTTTGTTCCTGGCATTGTTTATGGGTTTGGACCAGGGCCTGGCTCTGTTCCTGGTGTTGTTTTGGGGGTTGGTACAGGGCATGTTCCTGGGTTTTTTTGGGGTCCACCTGTGCATACTGTACTGGCCCACATCAGCCGTAACCCTATGCTATTTATTCTCTCTGTAAGTAGTAAGCAGATCATGAGTTCAAATCCTGATACGATCAGATGGATACAAAAAGGAAAAGGAGGAACAGTTAAAAAAATGGGCCCAGGGCTGAGATTCCTTCTTCCTCCCCCCCCCCTCCTCCCCTCAAAGGCTGAGACTCCACTGAACGAGGGTGCTCAATTTATGAACAGTTTGAATTTTTGAAAGGCCGTGTTGCTGTCCGCCTTTCCCTCGTCACGTGCCGCAAGTTCTGCTTGCCATAGCCGCCCATGTAAGGTGTGGAACCACATGACACACCCTCTCCTCCTCCTGACCTCTCTCTCTCTCTCTCTCTCTCTCTCTCTCTCTCTCTCTCTCTCACACACACACACACACACACACACACACACAGTTTCATTCCAACGCTCCTTGTGGATGCCCTTGTCGTTCTCACCTGTTGCACATGCTTGTGTACATATTCTCTATCTCTTCTCTTTACTCTTAAGAACTGCAAAGGGCCCAGTGTGACGCTCCCCCGCGGGCCCACCAAAAAACGCTGGGGGGGGGAACGTGCAACGTGGGACCGGTGCAGTCCCGAGGGAGCCATTTTTTTAACCGTCTTTTTCTACCCCACTCGCTTCTTTTGTGGCTGCGTGGTGCTTCCCCCATTTGTCATTTCATTTACCATTTCAATGATTTCATCGGTTTCTGCCTCCGTTTTCTTATTTCGTCAGTTTTTTGGCCCAGCTGATCAGCACATGAACAGAAGTTACAAAACAGTTGAAAACACAACAAATATGGCCGTGGATCTGTCCATGTCCCAGCGGAAGATTCACTTGGTGAGCAGTGGAGCGAGGCCCTTGGTCTTACTTGATTTTTTATTTTTATTTTTATTTTTTTTACCCTTTGAATCCTTGATGGAGTTTGGACTGTGTATGCATGACCCGTCCCTCCGCTACTCACCAAATGTGCCACATTATAATGAATCTGCCTCTGGTGCATGGAAATATACACCGACATATTTTCTATCTTTTATCCATGTGAGATTCAGTGAGAATGAATTATCCACTGGCACATGCAAAGATTTTTTTTTTTTTTTTTTTGGCACCGCCATATTTTCTGTCTTCTGTGCACGCGCAGAGTAGCGGTGTTTAGGGCCTCGCTTTGCTATTCTGCACGTGCACTTCATTATTTTTTATTTAGCTAAGGGCAGAAAATATGGCGGTGTTTCTTTCCATGTGCCAGAGGACGATTCGTTCTCATTTTGCACGTTTTGTGGGTAGTGGAGCCAGGCCCTTCAGCATGCCATTGGGGTG